TTTGGCTTCAACTGCTACTTATATACAACTCTTCTCAAATTCCAGACTCATATATCCAACTGCTATTGAAATCTCCACTTAAGTAGTATTTATTCCTTCCCCTTCTTTACCCTTAAGATTTGAGTAACAGTAAGGATACATATGTGACTGTGAAATAAGTCCACCTGAAACACAAAGATAGAATTCTGTGATCTGGGGAAGTTCATGGTAACTACTTCAGTATATAGGGGGAAACTACCCTGTAATCAAATGCTGTGACATCTCAGAGTAAAACAACTGATTGAGATCATAATAGTTTTGTGTTAGTTTACTTCAGGTTTTGCCCATTCCTCACATCCTAGCTAAAAACAAACAAAAAAAACTTTTATAAGAGGCTTTTGGATTTTAGAATCCAAACAGATAACTCTCTGGCCATCCACTAAGATGTCTCAAATAAAATGCAATTATCTGGTAACGATGAAGTCCAACTGGTTCTTTCTCGTCAATATTCCATGAAGTCTGCTATTTCTTTCTATTTTGTATTTATGACCTTAGTTCAGACGCTCATCTTTACTCATCTGAGTTACTGAAAAGGCTTTCTACTTCCAATCTAATCTCTGCAATCCTGTCAGAGCTATTCCTCTAAAATGCAAACCTGATTGCACCTACATTTTTCAATGGCATTCTATTGCTTGTAGGATATGGCTCAAACTTCTTGCAAGATACACAAAATCACCTTTACATCACCTGGCCCTGTTTGCCTCTTTTGGCTCATCTTTGATCCTTTTGGCTATAGTACTTATATTGATGTTCTCTTGCAATTTAGGAGTTTTTATATGTGCTCCTGTCTCTGCCTAGTTCTTTTTTCTACTTTAGGTCTTAATTTTTTTTTTTTTTTTTTTGAGTTGGAGTCTCACCCAGTTGCCCAGGCTGGAGAGCAGTGGCACGCTTGCGGCCACCACAGCCTTGATCTCCGAACTCAGGTGATTCTTCCACCTCAGTCTTCCAAGTAGCTGGAACTACAGGCATGCGCCACCATGCCTGGCTAATTTTTTAATTTTAATTTTTTTAATTTAATATTGATTGATTGATTGACTGTAGAGACGAGGTCTCACCAAGTTGTCCAGGCTGGTCTCAGGCAATCTTCTTGCCTCTGCCTCCCAAAGTGCTGGGATTACAGGTGTGAGCCACTGCGCCCAGCTGATTAAATGTTTTTTTCCTAGGAAAGGTAATTCTGACCATGGTAACCAAAGTAACTTCTCAGGAGGTAACATTTAATCAAGACCTAAAAGGATGATGTAGTGTTTCTGAAAGCATGTCATATATATGATGCATTTTTATTAGAAAGAATATAACTAGAACATCAAATCAGTGATTTGCTAATTATATAAGTTCATTAAACTAGAACAAGTACATAACAGACTGGGTAGTATGGAGATATAGCAAAAATCACAAAGCTCGTTTAGGATACACTGTTAATGGATATGATGGCAGGGTAAGGAAACAAAAGGAATAAAGAATGTTTTCCAGTATTCTAGCTTGAACACATACATGAGTATACACACAGCATTGAAATAAAGAAGAGCTGAGTCAGAGCTGGAAAAGTTGAAGTTCAACTGTGGACAGTTTGAGAAGTCAGTGAGATGTCCAACTGGAGACCGTTAGGCAGCAAATACTGTGCAACTCAGAAGGGAGACTGGGTTGAAAAGAGTGGTTATTATGGTACTTAAATCCATGGGAATGGATAAGATTACTTAAGAAGAAATTACAGAGAGAAAAAAGGACTAGGACCAAACCCTGAGAAACCCCCAAATTTAGAGGTGATACGGAAGAAAAATTAGAAAAGGAGACTGAGGAGAATAGGCTGGTAAGGTAACAGAAAACCAGAAAAATATGGGATCATAAAGTCAAAATGGAAGAGTATTCCAAGGAGGAATTGTCAAATGTGTCCAGTCGGCTGACAGCGCTTATTCAAGAGGACAAAAGGAAAGTATCCACTAGGTTGAAACATGTAACATCTTCGGCAACACTGACAGAGGTTTTAAAGCAGGAGTAGAAGCCAGGTCAAGTACATTAAAAAGTAAATGGAAAGCGAAGAAATAACCAACAATGAAGTTGAACTATGAGGTGGTCCCACTCTATGAATGATCACAGAAGAAATTACTGAGTCTACTTTTTTCTTTTCTTTCTGGCCTTCTTGAGTTTTCCTTTAATGTTTCTTTTTTCTTCCTTTCCTGAAAATGTTTTGAACCTGTCAGTTATAACATGTGATTCTTACAAATCACAGATCACAGTGAAATCACAGATCACAGTGAAGAAGAAAACTGACAGTCAATCTATTTTAGAGATTATTGCAGGAACTGCTAATCTGTATTGCAGAAATAGATAAAAGACATGTTTAATGAAAAAATTTAGTCCTATCTTTTTACTTATTTTTCTTTTTGTATCATGTTCAAATTATCATGATCAAAGATTTTGGTAATTATTTTTGTAGTCAGAACAGAGCAGATGATGTGGAAGATACAGAAATGTGGTATCTGGATGGATGATAGTCTTTGAATATCACTAGGTGCTGTGTGAGTATAATGGAATACATTTATCTTGTCATCTGGCTAATGTAAAACGGAAAGCTAAGGTACTGACCAATAAGAATTTCAGAACTGAAAGAATTCAACTAGGCTTAGATGAGCAAAACTCGATCACCAAGCACTGCTAGTTTCTAAAAACAGGTCCACTGTCAGTGGCAGGCTAGGAGGTTCAGAATTAACTGAGGAACTTTAAAAAACAGATTCCTAGGCCTTACCACAAAGATTTTGATCCAGCAGATATGAGGTGAGATTTAGAATCTGCATTTCTAAATCTCTTCAGGATGTCTGATATACAGTTAGACTGCAGAAGCTGACGCTGCAGAGTCTCAAATTTGCAGGTGTTAATCTGTTGCTAAAGTAGTAAGAGAAGCACAGAATCATAAAATTGTAGCACTTGGAGGACTTTTAGAAAATGCCAAGTTGAAACTTCCTATTTTTTTCCAGTTGGGAAAATTAAGAATCCTGACTAGTTCACAGTTACAACAGTCATGGCTAGATCTTTTGCCTTGTGCTACCTTCAGTTGTTATTTAGTTAACTTATATAGGTAATGGGTTTTTACTTTAAGTAGAGATATTTTAATTTAACTAAAATCACTAGATATTTCTTCTGCTTTACTGCAACCTGTAAGAGTGGATGCTGAAATTCAGTGGATGTTTGCTGAAAGAAGGAATTGTGCATTCTTGTCTATGAAGAGTTGCAGGGGTATCTTTATAAATCTTCCTCAGGTCTCAGTCATCATAAAAGTTAAAGACCACAGCTTTTAGATTATATCATTTCTTAGAGGGAATGGTTGATATATGACATGTGAAAGCAGGACCACTTCATCAGGTTAAAAAAATTACTAAAAGAACTACTTTTCTTGGAGTCACTGAGTCAGGTTACAGTTTTTAGGTAGTGAAAAATCTATAAAAAATAATTGAAAAATTGCTTCAGGGACAAATGGAGGGAAAAAATAGTCAACCTCCTGTTTAGGGTTTAGGGTGTGAACTAATACCACAGCTGTCACCCTGACAGTAATTCCTGTCTACTATTTATAAACTTAAAGAGTTAAAAGTACAGGATGACAAATTGTTCTAAACACAATGCAAAATAAAATAGCCTCAACGTTCAAAATTTAGTCCAATAAGTAAAATTCAAAACTGTATCACTCTAAAGCAGAATAAGGCTGTGCAAAAAAAGATAAAATTTGAAATAAAAGGAAGACAAAGAATTTCTGAGTAAAGTATGAGTCAAAGTGCTAAATTAAGCCAAGATGCTATAAAAAGGAAAATAATTTGAAAGACTAAAACATAGAAAGCAAAATTCTAGGAAGACTAAGGGGCTAACAGATAAAAAGATAAAAGCAAAAGAAACACACACACACACACACACACACACAAAACCCTAAAACAGGTATGAGCTAAGAAAAGGGTACAAATCAAATTAAAACTAGAAAAAACAGATAAAATTAGATTAAAAAGAAGCTGCCCAAGTTTCCATCAAAATGGATACATGTGATTAATGTATACAATGAGATATTATTTAGCTATAAAAGGAAATGAAGTTCTGATCCAGCTACAACATAGGTGAACCTTGAAAACATCATGTTAAGTTCAGTGGAATTTTACACTTAATATTAAAATCATAAAATATGCTAAAATACTCTAAGAGTATCATCCCCACATATAACTTAAGGAACCTAAGGAACATAAGAAGTAAAAGGCATGAGAGGTATGTCAAACAGGCAGCAGCACAAATAGTTTAATCTCAAATAAGTAGGATGACCATATAATTTACCAACCTAACCAGAGCACTTCGGGGAGGAAAGGGGACACTATTAATAATTACACAGGAAAAAAAAATTACACAGGGACAGCATGTATAGAATGGGACTATCCCAGGTAAACCAGGGTATAGTGGTTACTCTACATTTAAGGGCAATCAGGTCCTCAAGGTTGAGTTCATGTCCATAGCTTGGAGTCTGGAAGAAGTTCAATAGTCTGAGAGTGTCTTCCAAGTGAAAAATGCAAGACTGTATTTCATTTTTTTACAGAGAAACAAATTGCATACATAACCTTTACTTAAGTTTCCTCCTAATTCAGAATTCACAAAGTAATTAGCTTACTATTAGCTTTTACTAAGAGCTATAATTTGGTATTCTAGGCATTTTAGAAAGCTGAATTACATTTTGAAATGTACTGGCAGGTACACTAAGGAAGTTCTGAGGTGAGTCATTTTTTAATCAATCTACATTTCTAAATATTACATAAGCACTCTATAAATACATACATATACATTTTTATACTTATATTTATCTATAGATAACTGAGTCTGGAAATTTTAAAAATCAAGATAGAATTACTGAGAAAATTAGTAGCTCTTCCTATTCCATCTTTATTTTTAAACGAATTCATCTTAATCACCTACAATAGGTTAACTTAAAGCGTCCATACCTTTTGTGAGAAGCTCCGACTTGGGATGTTGCTTGCTAACTCTGATATCTTGGGTTTATTCTGAAGACACATGGTTAGGTGATATTTTTTCAATTTTATTCTATTGTAATAATGATCAGCGAAGTGACAGTGATTGAACTGCTGTCTCTGCATGCATTTCCCAAGGTGAGGAATACTAAACTTCAAAGCTTGGAGAAATAATCTGGTCTTCTGCTGCATGATAGTAAAGTCCCTGGTTTAATCCTCCCTTTGGGGCTGCCAGCAATGAATGATTTACAGGTCTGATTATAGAGTAGTGAGTTCTCAGAGCATTTAAAAATGATCAGCTGTTTTCATTTCTCCCTTCAGGGCGATGCACCCCTCAGGTTACCAGTAACTTCAGACAGCTGATAACTTAGGTTAAATAAAACTAAAAACTTGGAAGAACTTAAAGTTTCATTCAAATCATACTTCTTGGCAGATGTGAATTAAATGTCTCATTTGTAAGGCCAATCCTATCAGGCTGAGTCAAACTATGCAGCACTGATTCTGGTGCACATGCAAACTAAAACAAAAAACAGAAAAGAATCAAAATAAAATATTGCAAATAAGTACAGGCATGAGGGGCATCTCAGGAACACTGAGGGCTTCAAAATGGCTTTGATCTTACACAATTCTGAACACATCTTTGAAATGTATATGGGGGATAAACTGGAAGAGCCTAGTTATTTAATAAAGATGGGGGAGGGGAAATTAATCCCTGTTGAGTACTGACTACATGCCAGACGCTTTTATCTACTTTGTCTAATTTAAATTTTATATGGACTTGATAAAGTAGCTATTATGATGCTCATTTTACAGGTGAGTAAACTGTGACTCTGGGAGATTTAAGAAACTGCCCCAGGTCACCTGGACAGTAAGTAGTCTAGCAAAAAGTCCAATCTATTTAGCTCCAAATACTGGGCATAATGAACGACTGGACTTTATTGTTACATAGGTATTTAGTAAAAAGGTAAAAAACAACAGCCACAACAAAAACTGTACGATGCACAAATTAAAATGTGAGGCCACCTCTGGTTTCTACTGATTAATGGTCATAGCTAGTAAGGAGTTAAGAGTCCGAGGGACCTAGGTTCAGGTCTTGGCTTCTACACGTAACTACCTGTGTCTCTGGGCTTCAGATAATTCATTTGCAAACATGAAATAATACCACCATGGACCTAGAGCTGCCGCTGTTGTAAGAATAAAATGAGACAACTGATCTGCAGACCTCAATACAGTGCCTAGCACGTAGTAACCACTCAGTAATCTAGGCATGTTACACACTGTTGCACGTCATCATGGAACCTTCCACAAAATGCCCCCTGGTATCAAAGAACCAGAACACTGCGTCAAATTTACATAGATCTGATCCGCTACCACGACCCTGCCCCCCCCGCCCCCCAGTCCCCTCTGTGTCTCAGCAAAATAACAGGTTACTGGGGCTAGGGAAGCATCAGCCGACATTAGCAAAAAAAAAAAAAAAAAAAAAGACCCTGAAGAACAAGGTCTGCAAGGCCCTAAATCGCTGTCTCTGCCCCCATAGCCTCCACCCATCCATCTTTCATATTCAAGGAGGAGACGATATGCAAGGTTTAGGGATGGGGGTGGGGAAAACAAATGGGTGCTCCCTGGAGAACCTATTCATTTTCCCTGTGCAACTCTCCACCCCAGAAAAGAGGCGACCTGAGTGCAAGAGGGACCAGGTGACATGCAGTGATGGGACACGGGTCAAAAAGCGAGGGCCAGGGGACGGAGGGGCGGCTGGGTGGGGGGAGGAAGGGGAGAAAGGAAGACACCAGCACCCCTCCCCCCATACGTACGCAAATAGAAAGAGTCAAGTCCGACTCTGGGCACAAGAGAGTGAAGGCAAGCCTGAGAACCCGAAGCTCTCAGGGAGGAGCTGCTGTCACCTCAAGCGCGTCCAGCCGAATGTGCGTTCCGCAGCCTGCAGAGCGACAACCTACTCAGAGCCGCCCAGAGCCGGTTTGCAGCACGCCGATCTACGTAACCGCAACCTAGCACGAGCACGAGGCAGATTTCGCCATCTTTACTGTGGTCACGGATTCTCCTTGCACTCCTGATCCTCCAGTCTCCAAAGCCTTGGGCCCTTTGCTAATATTCTGAACTCGGGAAGAAGCAGGGAAGAATAAAACAGTGAGGGACAGCGTCCCATTAGCTTTGCCCCCGCTCTCTCACCCACTGGTCCGCCCTCACTCAAGATGGCTACCAGCAAAATGGTGCAATGACGTAATAGCGATGCCCCGGTTGCCAAGGAGACGCGAATACCGGAAATGCGGAACTCGGGGAGGGCGCGCGCGCGCAAGGGCCGTGGGAGAGGGGCCGGGCGTCGCAGGTCCTGACAGGAAAAAAGTAGGCAGGTCCTGGCAGGGGAGAGCTATAGCGGCAGCACCTGCGGGTGTAGGAGGCTCCAGGGAGATGGAGTCGCAAGTCGCGGACGCCGGGGCCAGCGAGACTGCTCGAACCGCAAGCGGGGGCGCGGCAGTTGGCGGGGCCGCTCGGGGGCCAGCAGTCTCGGCGCCCCTGGGAGCCGCCCGGTGGAAGCTCCTGCGGCAGGTAAGGGAGAGCCCGCTCGCTCACCTTTGCCTCTAGCCACTCCCCTTCAGGTACCGGGCAAGCGGGCGGCTGCCGCTCGCTCTCCTTGTCACTTGTGGGACTTCCCTCTCAGTTTGTCGGCAGCCCCCTGAGAAGCGCCCCCTCGCTTCATCTAAGCAAGCGTCTCAGCCAAAAGAAGGGATCAAGTGGGGCTGGGCGGGAGGGGGACAGCCATGGCTGAGCTCCTGGAAAACTCAGATCGAAGTGGAAGAGCCCCCTCTAGACTCTGATTTCGTCTGGGGGACCTTTTCCACTTGCCAGGCTGGTCGATGCGCCCACCACTCCTCACCCCGTGCTGCTTTTCTTCTCCTGCTTCTGTTCTGCCCCTTGCCCCCGGGTTTCTTTCCCTTGCTTAAGTGCCTGCTTGGTTCTAGTTACCGATGCCTGGTCTACAGCCCCTGACCCGAAGTCAGCGTGGTTGACTGTGTTGGGGCTGTGACATTGCACGCGTTCCCTCGGGTTCTTCCGTATGGAAGAAGCGTGGAAGGAGCGGAGCGTGGAAGGAGTGGAAAGGGCTGCCCCTCCGTCTCTCGCTTATAACTTCACTCTGGTGCAAGTTTGACGGCCGTGCTGGCTTGTGATCACGGACGTTCTTTGCAAACTGCTTGAGCTGAAGGCTGCTTCTTATTGCACAGCGGTGTTATGCCTCTACCTGGCTTCCTGCTGAAAACTTCATCCAGGAGAATATTTTTTCCATTTCTGATTGCTGTATTTGGGAAAGAGTTTCCCAGCTATTGCCGCCTTACTTGAGATTGTGCTTTTAAGTATTTTGGGGTTACTTAGTTTGCAGTTGTCTCGAGTCACCTTTTCATTAGTTTTTAAAAAATGAGTTTATGACATAATATGTTACAGCGATGAGTTAAGTAGATCATTAGATTTAAGTAAGATCATTTATTTACTCATGCATTGGGGATCTTTTCAGAGCATTAATGATTTGGTTTTGCAATTAATGTTACAAGTGGTATTATAGGATAATAAATGCATATCTCCAAGATCATCATAGGAACTGTCTACAGTGAAGTAAACATCTGTTAAAATGGAATTATCAAAGTAGTAAATTAGGGCCTTGAATTAATAAAATCTTCCTATACCTGTTAAGATACACACTACTCTCCTCTTTTGCTGTCTTGTGACATGACTTCAGTGATTCTTAATATAGTAAAAACTGAAGTTGTCCAGCACTTATGTTCATTGTAAATTGCAGTCTAAATCAGGACAGTGACAACAATGACAAGTTTCAGCTATGATTGCCATATGAATTCCCCACACGTTTTGACAGTTGATGTTTTGGTATACCTGTGCCTGATCAGAGAGTCTTTTATCTTCTTTTCTACTTGGCAAATGACTGTCATCCTTCACACTTCCATTTTGATCTGTTCTTTTGTGAAGCCATCTCTAATGCCTCTGGGTTGACTTAGATTCTCAGCCCACTCTACTCATAAACTACTCATCGTATTGTTTTATGATCATTTGATCAGTCTCTCTTTCTCACTAGCATGGGTGTTCTCCAGGGGAAAACACTATGTTATATTAATTTACATGCTCTGCACCTGGCACACTGCCTGGCTAATTGTTTTTTTTTAGTAGATATTATCATGTGTCTGTGGAAAGCTTGAGAGTAAGGACAGTTTTTAAGTGGCCCATAGCACCTAGACTTTAGTGTATTGTATCGGTTAGCTACTGCTGAGTAACAACCACAACACCATAGTTGGTGTTTATTTTGTTGATGCATCTGGGGACCACATAGGAGTTGACTGACATTGGCTTTGATCACCTTGGTGGCTCTAGGCTACATGTTTGGTCCACATGCCTCTAATCCTTGGACTAGTTGGCTGACATGTTCTTACGGTGATGGCAGAGGTGCAAGAGAGCAAGCCTGACTGAAGTAATACATTTCAAGCTCCTGCTTTGTCTCTTGTCTGCTAATACCATGTTGGCCAAAGTAATATACTTGACCAAACCCAAAGTCAAGGACTAAGGAAGTATAGCTCTTTTCTTGGAGATGACAAGGAGGAAGTAAATATTTTTATATAATAATCTAATCTATCATACATATTAAACATTTGCAAGCTTTTAGTAAAATCGTTTCAAATGAGTGGATCATTCATATCTTAACTCATTTGCAATTGCTGACGTGATCTACATCATTCCAAGTTCTGTTCCTGGTTGCTGCTGATGTGAACTTACGTCTTTGCAAATTCTGTTTCTGAATGCTGCAACATTGCCATATGTGTGTGTTACTATATTTTGCTTGAAAATGAATAGTGAGGCAAGGAGAGAGAAAGTTAATTGATATAATTGTCTGATAGCAACTGGGCAATGTTGTTATTGATTTACGTAGTTGGTAACAATTGCAAGTTGGTCATCATTTTGTTGCAATTAGTGTTGTATACTTGTATTTTGATATTTCAGGGCTTTTATACATCAACATTAAAAATAATTTACCATTATGGAAAATGAGGAAATATATGCTAATGAGATTTCTGAGGTGAAAGGTGAATCCAGTGAACTTATTAGTGATAGTGAGACAGATAGTGATAGTGATATAATGATGCAATGTAAATGAAGAAATATATATATGTAAGACATATATAATATATATTCGGTTTATAATCTGAATAAAAATATGAGGTACGGAATGCTAGTCAGAGTTGTATCTGAGGCAAATATTGGATGTGTCTGCAACTTTCAGCTGTATTGTGAGAAAGGTGACAATTTAGAAAAGACCATTTCACTTGTACTTAGCAACAGCAGTTTGCAGCAATCAGCTTCAGATTTTTTTTTCTTTTCACCCACTCTCAGGAAAGTGAACAGTCTGCCGATCGTGAATGTGTTAATATGCCTCTAGAACTGGAACACTGTGAGGAATCTAAATGATGCTAGAGACATGTGACTCCTTTTCTCACTTGTGGGACATCTTACTGACATCTGCTTCTGTCTGCTTGTTTTCTCCCTTATGACGCAGGCTTTTCATTACCCTGTAGGGCTCCAATGCTGTCACATGGCCCTTGACTTTATGATAGTCAATATTTTCTATGTTTTGTAATTCACATTTTGGAGAGAAAACCTGTGAACCTAGTTCATCATTTGGTACATGATAGGTTGTCAACATTTGAGTCTACTGTGTGCTAAAACTAGATGGGCTCTGAAAGTTTATGAATCAATATCAATAGAGGCTATGGATGTTGTCCTGCTTTCCTCTTTGTTAAGACATATTACCTGATGGCAAGGATGGCCATTGGCAACTCCAGGCTTTCATAATCCATCCAGTAATTAAGAAGCCATTGTTGGCCTGGCACAGTGTCTCATGCCTATAATCCCAGCACTTTGGGAGGCCTAGATGAGAGGATTGCCTGAGCTCATGGATTCGAGACCAGCTTGGGCAACTTGGCGAGACCTCATTTCTACAATAAATCAAGAAAAATTAGCCGGGTGTGATGGCCATGCCTGTAGTTTCAGCTACTTGGAAGACTGGGAAGGAAAGCCTGAACCAGCAGGTTGAGGCTGCGGTGGCCATGAACATGCCACTGGACTCCATCCAGCCTGGGTGACAGAGTGAGACTCTGACTTAAAAAAAAAAAGAAGCCACCATTTCCCCCCCCAATATCCAAATCAGTCCTCCAAATGACTGCTAGACCAAGGTTGCAATTGCTGTGTATAGAATGGGTCACTTTAGCTAACCTGGGTTATCAGCCACCCTGTGGCAGGAAAGAAACAACCTCACCAGAATTGTATGGAGTAAGGGAGAGGCAGTTCCCAAAAGGAATGACTGAAGGGCAGATGGAAAAGTAGCAATGGTCAGTTCAAACTTAAACACATATTCACAAACACCTATGGAATGAAAAATTTTGCCTACAGGTCTGAATGAATACTGAGCTGAATAATCTGATTAGTGGACTATTTCATAGTACAATTTATATTAAAGTAGAATGTTTTTTACCTGGATTGGCTCATTGAGAAGTTTGTCAAAGAAATGAATAATGATAGTGATACATATTCTAAAGTGAAATTATCATCTGATTGCCAAATCTTAGATATCTATAATTTAAAATTTGTAATTAATTTTTTTTCGAGTCACGGTCTCACCTTATCACCCAGGCTGGAGTGCAGTGGCATGCTCTTTTTCTACTGCAGCCCGGATCTGCTGGGATCAGGCGATCCTTCCACCTCAGCCTCCCAAGTAGCTGGAACTGCAGGTGTGTACCACCACGCCTGACTAATTTTTAAAATTTATTGTAGAGTCCAGGTCTCATCGGGTTGCCCAGATTGGTCTCAAACCCCAGGACTCAGGTAGTCCTCTTGCTTTCACCTCCCAAAGTACTCGAATTACAAGTGTGAGCCACCATATCCAGCCTAAAAATTTTTGTAGTTGACTTTCCACACCTAAATTGGTTGTACATTTTTAAGCAACGTACCTTTATCTTTCTAAAACATTCAACTTAGTTTTTATGAAAGCAACAACTTTTAACCCTTTTATTAGTTTTGTACTATTTAATTAATGATCAGTTAAATGTTTAATTGATGACAGTATTTAACTGATGGCAAAGTTGCAGAAACGTAGTCAACACCATCTTTCCTTATTTCAATTCTCCTGTTAGTGCATCTAGTTAGTTAAACTAAAATCACATATGAAACTGTGGCTGCTAAGGATTCTGGGAAATGTAGTTTCTAGCTTTCTAGCTCTATAACATAGGCTGTATCTTGGTAGTTGAAATGGATGTTTTATGCCAGTCTACTGTACTCTATAAGTAGAGGTATTAAGGGTGTGGTCTGTAGTCAGAGAGACTGGATTTTATTTGTTTGTTTGTTTGTTTTTTTGAGTTGGAGTCTCACCCTGTCGCCCAGACTGGAGTGCAGTGGCCGCTCCCGGCCACCGCAGCCTCGACCTGCTGGGCTCTGGCGATCCTTCCGCCTCAGCCTTCCGAGTAGCCGAAGTTACAGGCATGCGCTACCACACCCGGCTGATTTTTTGATTTTTTGTAGAGATGAGGTCTCGCTGCCCAGGCGGGTCTCGAACCTGCGGGCTCAGGCAATCCACTCACCTCAGCCTCCCAAAGGCGTGGGATTACAGGCTGAGCCACCGAGCCCGACTGAGACTGGATTTTAACCCTAGTTTTAAAACTTTCTAATTCTCTAACCTAGGGAAAATTACTTAACTGCCCTGTGTCCCGGTTTCCTCTCTCATGTAAAGGATATCTATCTATCCCATAGGGTTGTTTAAGGATTTAATGAATAATGTGTTAAGTTTGCATTAATTCTTATTTAGTTGTTTGGTGTCATCTTCTAGTGAGCAGACTGGGCCTGGAGTTTTTTTTGTGTGTGTGTTAAGTTTTTAATTTATGAATTCAATTTTTAAAATTGTTTAGGATGGCTCAGCCTGTAATCTCGCACCTTTGGGAGGTTGAGGTGAGTGGATTGCCTGAGCCCGCGGGTTCGAGACCCGCCTGGGCAACTTGGTGAGGCCTCATCTCTACAATAAGTCAAAATGAGCTGGGCGTGGGAGCGCGCGCCTGTAGTTCCAGCTACTTGGAAGGCTGAGGCGGAAGGATCGCTGGAGCCCTGCAGGTCGAGGCTGCAGTGGCTGGGAGTGACCACTGCACTCCAGTCTGGGTGACAGAGTGAGACTCCACCTCAAAAAATAAATAAATAAATAAAATAAAATAGTTTAGGACTATTCAGATTTTCCATTTCTTCTTGTGTCAGTTTGGTAGTTGCGTTTTTTTCTTTTAGGAATTTGTCTATTTCATCTAAATTTTCATTTAGCTTTCATAATATTCCATTGCCATTATTTTTAATGCCTAAAGGATCTATAGTGATCTCCCATATCACACTGGTACTTCTTTTTTTCTAATTGGCGTTATCAGAGATTTATCAATATTTTCAAATAAATAGCTTTTAGTGTTATTGATCCTCCCTCCTATATGTTGGTTTTCTACTTCATTAACTTCTACTCATTTGGGGACCTAATTTGCTTCTTTTTCTAATTTTTTGTAATGAATACTTAGCTTATCAACTTTTGTTCTTTCTATAAATTTCCCTCTGAACATAGCTTTAACTGCATGTCACAGGTTTTGAAATGTATTTTTATTATAATTCAGTTCAAAGTACTATGTAGTTTTCACTGTGCATTCTTTTTTTGGGTTCATAGGTTATTTAGAAGTATAGTGCTTAATTTATAAATATATTTGGCTTTTCAGATATCTTTTTAACAATTTATTTTGTTGTTGATGACTAAGAAGGTGTTTATATCTTTAAAATTTTTCTGTCATGGAAAATGTCAAACATATACAAAACTGGAGAGAATAGTAAATCATAACTCAGGTATCCACAAACTTCAACAATTTTTAATTCATGATCAAGTTTGTTTCTTCTATCTTTTCCTATTAGTTTCCCCCCATTATTTTGAAGCAAATTTCTGATATCATTTTTTTCTTTAACTATTTCCCTATGAACCTATAAAAGATACAATTAAAAAATATAATCACTTTACCATATCACATCTGGAGTAATTTATTGATGTCATGAAATATCTAGTCAGTTTTCAAATTTTCCCCATTATCTCATTATTTTTCGTAATGATTATTATTTTGAAACAAGATCTAAATAAGATCCATACATTGTTATTGGTTTACAGCTCTCATAAGTCTTTTATTTTTATTTTGTTATTATTTTTAGAGACAGAGTCTTGCTCTATTGCCCAAGCTAGAGACAGAGTCTTGCTCTTGTGCAGTGGTGCAGACATAGCTCAATGCAACCTCAAACTCCTAGATTTGAGTGATCCTCTCATCTCAGCCTCTCTACTATTTAGTACCATGGGGGTGTACCACCAGACCCGGCTAATTTTAAAAATTTTTTGTAGAGGTGGAGGCTCACTATGCTGCCCAAGCTGGTTTCAAACTCCTAGCTTCAGTGATCCTCTCACCTCAGCCTCCCAAAATGCTGGGATAATAGGCTTGAGCCACTACACCCAGCCAGTGTTTTTAATCTATATATTCCATCTGTTTTTCTCTTGTTCACCCCTTGCTATTTATTTATTGGAATGTGTTGGTCTTGTAATGCTTCCCATAATTTGAATTTTGTTAACTGCACCTTGATGATGTTGTTTAATGTGGTCTTCTATCCCTTGTATTTCCTATTTCGTATAAGGTGGTAGATACAGAGGCTTGATCAGATTAAGAGTTTATATTTTTTGTTTTGTTTAATTGGTCAGTATGGTGGGGATATCAACATTCATCAATAATCACAGTGATATCTGGTTATTACTTTTGTGGTTATGCTCTCCTAGGCTTATGAATTCATGAGAGAGTTGATGAATTGTGATATTCTGTCATCCTTCTTCTTTTACTTAGGATATCGCTATGAAAAGAAACTTACCTTTCTATTTGGGTACTCTCAGTTGCAGGTTATATAGGAAAGATGGATAAATACTAGATTCTATCTCCTTATTTACTAGTTTTCAAAATAAGTTGATTCTTTAGCATCTTTGAATTGTCATCAAGGAGGCATTTAAAAACATACCATTACAAACAATAATATGTTTTGATTCTGTTACATGTATTACTTTTACTAATATGATATCCTCTTATCTTAGTCTATTTTCTGTTGGTGTAACACAACACCCGAGGCTAGGTAACTTATAAAGAAAAGAGGTTTGTTTGGTTCACAATTCCAGTGTCTATAAAGTCCAAGAGCATAGCGCTAGCATCTGCTCAGTTTCTAGTGAGAGTTTTCGTACTGTGTCATATATGCCAGAAGGTCAGAAGGGATGCGGACATGTGTGAAGGGGCAAAACACCGTGATGTCCTTGCTTGACAACAACCCATCCTTGGCAGAAGTTACCTAGTCTCATGAGTGAGAAATCACTACCATGAGACTTGCACCAAATCAACCATGAGGGCAGAGCCCCATGACCCAAACACCTCTTATTAGACCCACCTCTTAAAGGTTTTGCCTCCCAACATTGCCTGTCTGGGAGCAAAGGTTCCAACATGAGTTTTTGTGAGGACCCTTAAACCATACCACCCATCTTCAAAGGACCCTCTTCAAATTGACTCCTGAGTTTTTTTTTTTTTACATAACTCATTGTTTTTAAAAGTAGGTATCTTGTTTTCTTGTGTACAGGATGTTCCAGGCTCATCTTGTACGATACCTGCCATTTCTCCAAGAGGCCTTACTTTATTTTAATAAAAAATGGTGTTCAGATACAGTAATGTGGCCACTAGGTATGCTCATTGCCACTAGTTTTGTCATTGTTTTTAGATCTTTTCAGTGGTCAGATGTAGAAAACATATGTATAGTTTTTAATAGTTAATAGTTTAATTATTAGTTTATATTATACCTCTGTTCAGTTTCAGAGCCACAGGGTTTTTTGTTTAACCTTATCACTCTTACATCTTTATCTCCTTTTTCCCCACACTTAAAAACCTGGTGTTCAGTGACACCAACAAAATTATTTGTTTGATTTATCCTAAAACACACACATACACCTGCAGGCTCAGAATAATATACCTGCCCCTGCCTAAATAACCTTTAAAATTCAACTTTTACCTCCTAACTCTACTGGCTGTTAAAGGTTTTGTTTGTCTTCTCAGTTCTGCCTTTTGGAATTGACACATGTTCTCAGAAGAAAAGTGGTTGCAAAAGCCAGGGTCACTCACCTCTCTAGGTTTGTCTCCTTTTAAGATACCAGATTGGTAAAGTTTTACTATCTTTGTTCTCCAATATCTTCAAGTAATGTTTTTAACTATTTTGCCCATCTTTTCTAGTTGTCTTCAGTAGAAAGTGTGTCTGAATGATCTAATCTGCCATTATCAGAAGTGAAACTTTAGCACTTAAATTTTGAACATATAACTTATGATATTTTATAACGTAACTTCAGTATTTGATTTTATTTTAAAGGTTCTGAAGCAAAAACACCTGGATGATTGTCTGCGACATGTATCTGTAAGAAGATTTGAATCATTTAATCTGTTTTCAGTAACTGAAGCCAAAAAAATGGAAACTGAAGAGATTGGTGCATGGGTCCAATATACAAGTGTCTTCTATCCTGAATATAGTATCTTCTTAAGGTAACTGTTACTCTAGTTAAGATTTTTAAAAATTAGTTTTCTTTTATAGAAGAAAGTAATCTAATAAGAATCTTGTTATTCATTTGGTTGAGTTTGCAGATAAGCTTCTTGAGAACTTAGTTTTTGCAACTTTATGTTAGGAAATCTTGCTGTTTTAAATGGGTCTTGTTATATTGTCAGAATAAAGAAAAAAATGCTCAGAAATATGGTAGCATTTGAGGACAAGGTATGTTGCAAATCAAAGGGTTCATTTATCCATTCTCTCAGAGCATTTGGTTATGACAAAAGGCAACTTCTTTTTTTTTTTTTTTTTTTGAGTTGTAG